CTCTATCCCTCTCTCTCTCGCTCTCAAGAGAGAGAGAGAGAGCGAGAGAGAGAGGGAGAGAGAGAGAGAGAGAGAGAGAGAGGGAGGGAGGGAGGGAGGGAGGGAGGGAGAGAGAGAGCGAGAGAGCGAGAGAGAGAGAGAGAGAGAGAGAGAGAGAGAGAGAGAGAGAGAGAGAGAGAGAGAGAGAGGGAGAGAGAGAAAGAGAGAGACCAAAGGAGCCACCCCGACTGCGACTACTGCTAAACTGCTCCTGATATTGCTGGTCAAACAAGAGCCCTAATTCAACATTCAACCCCGAAACACCCGCCATGCCTGGACGTGTTCTTCGACAGCTGCCCCGCATAGTCTGCCAGCGCCGCGGCCACCGCCGCCATCTTTCTGAAAGCCAAAGCCCAAGGCCCAAACTAAGACAAAGCGTATGGGTTTGATCCTTGGAGACTTTATGCTTTTCGGCAAATAAACATACCTAAAGGACCCCGAGTCCCGAGTACAAAGGTCCAGGATATCGGATCTCTCGAGCAGTTGAAGTAGAACTTAAGGTTTAGTTTGGGTACGGCCCCCATACACTAACAGTCTACAATGGGGCTACTATTAAGGTCCTTATATCTCTGTGTTATGAAGATTATCCAACTGTTACTGAGTGGGGGCAGTACCACAGGTTTAGTTTTCAAGAGGATTCTGCCAGGAGGCTGCAGGCTATGCTGAAACTTCTTGAGGCTACGAAGTTTTATTCAAGATTCGACGGAGCCTGATGCGAAGCCGGAGTGCCGCGGACACGCACAAGCTTCAAGGATTTAGGATTTAGAGCTCAGGGCTCACGATGTTCTTTTCATCGGGATGGTAAGTAGCAAGTCCCCAAGCTTATTGCGGCTGCGGCGGATCGCCATCCCACCCTCCAACATCAAGCCCCGAAATCCCATGACCTTGGCCCTTAAACTGAACTTAAAACCCGCACCTGCCAGCACCACAATTGGGGTGCTGTCCTGCCTTTCTTCCTCAGCAAAGCCGTATTTGCTCGGTGCTGCGATCCTTGAAATACCTGAAACCCGAAGCCCGAAAACCTTAACACCCTCATCCGCAAGGCCCTGAACCGCTAAACCCTAAACCCTAAACCCTAATCTCTAAACCCCTAAACCCTAAACCCTAAACCCCTAAACCCCTAACCCCTAAACCCTAAACCCTAAACCCTAAACCCCTAAACCCCTAAACCCCTAAACCCTAAACCCTAAACCCAAACTGAGACCCTGAACCTGAACCCTGAAACTCTGAAGCCATCCCTCTCCAAAAACCGCGATGGGCCGCTTCCTCCGCTTTTCCTACCGGCTTCCGTGCTGAGATCTTAACCCGAAAGCCCTAAAACCTTCCGAGCCCGAATACCCCGAAACCCTAAACCTCACTGGCCCGAAACCCAAGGACGGTTAGGGTTTAGGGTTTAGGGTTAGGGTTGAAACTTTCAGAATCGACTATAGCTTATAAGAACCCCAAAAGTTGAAAAGTTGAGTTGACAGCCAATAAGAAACCGTAAGGCTCGAAGACGCAGGGACCTGGATCCGGAAAGTGAGCAAACGAATTACCCAGATGTCAAGGGAACAGATCGGTGCCAGTCTCGATCAATCTCAATTATCAAACCAGAGCTTAAGGTTTAGGGTCTCCGGTTACGAGAGTTTCGGGCTTAGGGTTTAGGGTTTAGGGGTTAAGGGTTAGGGTTTTGGGTTCGGGGTTTAGGGTTAAAGGTTTAGGGTTTGGGGTTTCGGGGTTAGGGTTGAGGGGTTACGACTTGCAGCACTGGCAGGTCGCAAATCCATTGAATAAGGTTTGTTTAAGAAACAGGAAGATATACAGCAGAAGCTCTACAGCCTCAATGCTTAAGAGGATCCCAACACTATTTGGTCTCAATCCGGATTCCAACTTTAATCGGGTTTACTGTAGTCAAGAATTCCTGAGTTTCAGTCCAAATAGTAGGATCCTTATTGTAAGGACCCCAAAACAAAGCACCCCTAATTTGCGGAAACTCCCAAATAATCACCGAACATAATATATTCACGACACAGTACTATGCGTGTTTTTTGGAACTGTTTTCCGATATGTCCCGTATTGTTCCCCGATTCCGTACCCGCTGAAATTCGACACAATCCTATGTGATTCTCTTACTGTTTTCCTATAGTTACCCAGTTTTTTTGCCGCATATTTCCTCAAAGCAAGGAAAGAAACAAAACACACCTAGGATTAACATAGGATTTTGGTTGCACGTGGGGTGGGGGCTGGATCACGTTTATATCGGAAAAAAAAGACCCTAGAAAAAAGTAGGTTTAAGTAGGTTGATGTAAGTCTTCATAGGACTTAGACCCTAAACTATAACCCTAAACCCTAAACCCGTAAACCCCTAAACCCCTAAACCCTAAACCCAAAACCCCTAAACCCTAAACCCTAAACCCCAAACCCCTAAACCCTAAACCGCCCCTAGGCATTCAGGAGCTGAAGGCTCTGCGGCTCACTCTTCGACCCAAACCCTACTAAAGGGGCCTTAATGATTACTTAGTTGCTGAGTTCATAAGCCCCAAAAGTGTGCACTTTCGGTTTGATAGTGGGAAATATTATCCCAAAAAGTGTAAAGTGTATCCACTCAGCTACTAAGATTAGAATAGGGTTTTGGGGCCCATTATGCTATAGCTATGGTAGTATAAACAATTATCGAGGCCCCTTTGTTAAACCCTAGGCCCTGAACCCTAAACCCGGCTAAACCCTCGGCCCCGAATCCCTTGAAGAGAGCCCTTGTGGTCCTGATATATGGGTAATTCTCTCAAATCGGGCTCCTTTCTAAGCCCCCGAAGTAGTACGGCACTCTGTTTGAATAAAGACCCTGAAAGGGACCCTAATTTAGAAAACTACCCATATGAATATACTAGAACCTTCGCCAGAAGCCTCCTAAAATTATCATGGCAACAAAAGCACCCTAAACCTGTATCATGGGAACTTCTTAACTTGCACTGTGTTTGGACCTTCCGGGGAATATCCGCAGCCTCAGGCGACTCGCACACGAGTTAAACTGCGCGAGGCAGACCCCGACGCATCTTAAAAATGTCAAGAGACATTGGATCGTCCAAAAAAGTTCTCAAACCCCTAACCCTACTAAATGTAGATTCGCAACGCCTCGGGGATGTGGGGTGCATCGCGCCGGCACAAAGCGTGTTGGTTCAAAGCTTCAGTCTCTTTCTGTTTAGGCTTCCAACCTCAACCTTACAGCCTCAGTCCTATGAGCTTGTAAGTAGGATTTTACTTAAAGGATCATGGGACTTAGTAACTAGGGTTATAATTAGGGCAACTATACTTATAACCCCAATTAAGGTACTTATAACCTTACTTACTAAGTCCCATGATCCTCCAAGTAATTGGGAGTTTCTGAAAATAGGGGACCCTAATGCAGTACCCTAAATAGTAGGATCTTTATTATAAGGACCCCAAAACAAGGTACCCCTAATTTTCGGAAACTCCCAATTGGGGTTACAAGTGACCTGAGTATTGTTATCCTACTTGTAACCTTACTTTCGAAGTTCCAGGGTCCCGTGTCTGGAACTCTTATAGAACCCTCATTAAGGGAGCCCTTTAAAAAACCCTCCGACAGCGGAAAAGGTGACCTAATGCACACGACTGTAATGTAAGGGCGCGGGGAACAACCGCACGCGCTGTGGCCCGGAACGGCGTTTCAAGAGTTAGAAAACTAAAGAAACTCTACGTCTAAAACTGCTCAACCTGCAAGCCTGCAGGAAATGCCGCGCTTTGAGTGCTAAAGAGCCCACCTGTTTAGAGATCCGTATTCTGATTTCCTTCTATACGCCCTTTCACATGTAGGTTTCTGTAGGGTCCATGTAAACCCTAACCCCTAAACCCCTAAACCCTAAGACCTTACTCCCCCGACACGGGCCCCTTTACATGGGGGACTACACTGGCCGCTACAGGGGTCACATTTAGCACAGGAGCCTTGAGAGAATAGGCCTTTTGGTGCAGACTCTACGAAACCAAATGGGGACTACACAGGTACGGTTTTGTTAGCTACTCAGACCTTTAGCTTACCTTTGGTTAGTAGGGAATGGAGGAATGGGGTACAACTAAACTACTATTACTACCGTTCTTCCAATCCCTACTAACCAATGGTAAGTTGCATTACCCCAGTACCCCTATGATGAGGGAGACCCCTTAAAGGGTACCCCTGCCGAACCCTACTTCTGGCTCTCTTAAAAGGGACCTTATTGAGAGGGTCTATATCCCCAAGGGTCCGCCGAATCCTAACTCCCAACCCCTCAACCCTCAATAGTACCCTAAATAGTAGGATCCTTATTATAAGGACCAAAGGTAAGTTAGATTACCCCCAGTACCCTTATAGATCCTCTATTACAGTACCCTTATAGGTCCGTTATAGTAACCCTTATATACCCCTTTATAAGGCCCCTTTACCCCCAGCACCCCACATCCCCCAAAAATCGACAGCAAGCCAGCGGCCCTCATGGGCCCTTGGGCTGAAACCGGCTCAAGCCACACGCTTTCGGAGCTGGTGTCAAACCGTTAGACTTCGGATTGCTTGGGGTGAAATCTGGGGGCCTGCATAATCAAGAATAGCCAGGGTTTAGGGTTTAGGGTTTCGGGCTTGGGGTTTAGGGCTTAAGGTTTCGGGTTTAGGGTTTAGGGAATGGAGGAATGGGGTACAACTATAAGTACTATTACTACCATCCTTCCATTTGCTAACCTAAGGTAAGTTCGGAGCTGGTGTCAAACCGTTAGACTTCGGATTGCTTGGGTCAGATCTAGGGGCCCCCATAATCAGAATAGGCAGTGTTTTGGGTTTAGGGTTTAGGGTTTCGGGTTTAGGTTTAAGGTTTAGGGTTTAGGGTTTCGGGTTTAGGTTTAAGGTTTAGGGTTTAGGGTTTGTAGTAGTCGGGCATATTAACACATGCACTTACTGAGGAGCCCAAGGAATACGATAACGAATGATTCCGACCCCTATATTACTGCCAGAGGTTGGCCAAAAGCGTGAAGGACCCAGCAGCAAAGTAGTAACAGATCTTCTGGACGCTGAAGGCCGTCACCCGCACCCCTCTGGTGTAGAATCCTGCCTGGCTGTCCAAGATGTACCTTAGAAGGATTTGACACAAACTTGGGTACATATCATATAGCATGCATTATATATAGAGCATTATAATGTGTGTGTGTGTGTGTATATAATATATAGAGTACATATTGTCTAGCCGCTTTCAATCTCAGGCTCCTTCGGAGTAAAGGTTTCGGGCTTCTACGTTGTATTTTCAACTCTTGGAGTGACAAAACTTCTTCCCTAAACTCATATCCAGGCAGTCCAGGAACCCGCAAGACAGAAAGGTAGAGCTTAGGTACTGCCCCCAATACAGTAAGAGTCTATAATAGGGCTTCTATTAAGGTCCTTATATATATATATATATATATATATGGTCACCCCCCCCCAAGATCCACACCCGCCTCTTCCATGCTATTCCACAGCTTGCTTCTCTACATTGATCCACTACTCACATAGGCAGAAAACACCGTAAATACCGATAAAATCGTGCGTTTCGTCATGTGCACCCAAGCCTTGTTGCTACAAGTCGCGGGTTTGATATCTGTAAAAATCTGGAGCCGAATCTCGGCCGGGGATTTATGGTAGTTTATGTGTTGGACAAGCTGAAATGCTGGAGGGCGTGCTAGTTTTGTTCATGTAATACTAAAAAAACCTCGTGTTTTTTGCATTTTATGGTGTGTGTTTTTAACAACATTCCTCTAATAATAAAAATACTATTGTCTCTCTTACGAAAACGTCTGCGTGCGTGGGCCATCTCTTTCCCGCTGCTCGTGAAGCGTCCGATTCTGATGCGACCTAATCGCTCTAGCGTTTGATTTATGAGTTACGCAATACAAAGAGCTCCTTTCATGTCCTGTCCATTATACATGAAGGAAGTCGAATATACGGGCGCGTTTATTTTTGAAGCAATACTCCAATAGTTGTTCTTTGCCTCATAAGAAATGGGAAAGCTCCCCTGGAGTTGAAAGGTTCATGTGCATATGCGGGCGCACAAGAGGGCTCGTCTGCAGCAAAAAGTAAGAGAGCTCTTGCAACGTTCCAAACATGAAGCAGGGCTGTTCATACTTATCAAACAAGAGTAATGAAAACCGTTGCTGTTCCAGAAGGCACATAAAACATTACTTCCAGTCCTTGACAACGGTTGAAGGCACCCAATTATCCAGTCCTGGACATCAGAAAACACTGTAATGCTCAAAAAATTCCAAAATTTCCAAGCCTGAAACTCACAAAACACTGTAATGCTCAAAAAATTACAAAAATTCCAAAAGTCTGGCATCTATGGCGAGGCCGGGGGCAGATTCCTTAAAAGTTTGGAATTTTTTTGAGCATAGCAGTGTTTCGTGCGTTTCAAGGCTTGGAAAAATGGATTTTTTTTGAGCATTACAGTGTTTTGTGAGTTTTAGAGCACGAAACACTGCTATGCTCAAAAAAAATGTGCTTTGAGGCTGTGAAAAGTGTGTTTTTTTTGAGCATTACAGTGTTTTGTGAGTTTTGGACCACGAAACACTGCTATGCTCAAAAAAAGTGAGCCTTGAGGCTGTGAAAAGTGGATTGTTTTTTGAGCATTACAGTGGTTTGTAAGTTTTAAACCACGAAACACTGCTATGCTCAAAAAATTCCAAAATTTCCAACCCTGAAACTCACGAAACACTGTAATGCTCAAAAAATTACAAAAATTCTAAAATCCTGGCATCTATGGCCAGGCCGGTGACAGATTCCTTAAAAGTTTGGAATTTTTTGAGCATAGCAGTGTTTCGTGCGTTTCAAGGCTTGAAAAAGTTGATTTTTTTTGAGCATTACAGTGTTTCGTGGCTTGAAACTCACAAAACACTGTAATGCTCAAAAAAAACCACTTTTCATTGCCTCAAAGCTCATGAAACACTGCTATGCTCAAAAAATTCCAAACTTTTAAGGAATCTGCCCCCGGCCTGGCCATAGATGCCAGAATTTTGGAATTTTTGGAATTTTTTGAGCATTACAGTGTTTTGTGAGTTTCAGGCTTGGAAATTTTGGAATTTTTTGAGCATAGCAGTGTTTCGTGGTTTGAAACTCACAAAACAGTGTAATGCTCAAAACAAATACACTTTTTACAGCCGCCAAGCTCACGAAACACTGCTATGCTCAAAAAATTCCAAACTTTTAAGGAATTTGCCCCCGTCCTGGCCATAGATGCCAGAATTTTGGAATTTTTGTAATTTTTTGAGCATTGCAGTGTTTCGTGAGTTCTCGGGTTGGAAAGTTTGGAAATTTTTGAGCATAGCAGTGTTTCGTGCGCCCCATGCCCTAAGAACCACGATGGCGTGGATCTTGGGGGGGGGGGGGGGGGGGGGCGAGCATATATATGTATATATTATGAATATAATTTAACTATTACTGAGTGGGGGCATGTTATGCTTGGAGGATCATAACAGTCATAAGTAGCAAAACTGGTGCTATGAGGAACCATAAGTATAACTACCGTATTTAGAACCCCAGTTACTAAGTCCCTTGATCCTTTTAAGTAAAGGTATTGCTATCAAGATGTCCCTGTAGAGTGCAAGTCCGTTGAGATAAACCGCGCAATTTCAGGCAGGAATTCGGAAGTTTTGCAAGCAAACAACACCTAAAAGCCCTAAAGCCTATACCCCTAAACCAAAACAAACTAAACCCTAAAAGCCCAAAAGCCCATGCAAGGGCTTGAAGTGTACGACTTAGGGCTTTTGAGGTCTGGGAGTCGAGCGTTCGACGCTTCGGTAGTCGGCTTAGGACAGCTTGGTGTTTACTTGAAGGAGCAGGGGACTTAGTAAGTCGATTATAAATAGGGTTATAATTGTGGTAACTCCATTTAGGGTACTTATAACCTACTTACTAAGTCCCCTGCCCCTCCAAGTAGGGTTTAGGAGCCTGCAAAAAGGCTTTATGCAAGTTTCAGGCATGCCTACCCCAAGGCGTGAAGCCCAAATCCTAAACCCTATAATCGGGATTACGCCCTGACACTTGCGCCCAAAAAACAGTTCCTGCTTTTGGTGAGCCCCAACTAAAACCAAGTCTGAACCCCTACACCCATCATTCTAATTATACCTTCCCGTGCTTCTTGCTTCTTCTCTTTGTCCCAGACCCTAAACCCTAATTCTGACGCTTTAGCTTCCTTTGTCCCCTACAGCAAGCCATAAACCGAAAAGCAGCTGTCCGCACCCGGGTCACTGGACGACGTACCGCCGTGCGTCGTCCAGCACCTCCGTGTCGTCGAAGGCCCATGAGTTCACCAAGGGCGCTAATCGATCCACCTCAGGGCTTAAGGTTTCAGGATTGAGGTTGGTCTCTAAGCCAACAGCAGCAATTAGATTACCCTAAACCCCCACAGGCTTAGAGCCTGAAAGGTTAGGGTTGAGGATTTCTGGGTGTTTCGGAAGTTAGGGTTCAGCGCTTCAGGTTGAGGGTCTCGGGTGCTTAGGGCGCTTAGGGTTTAAAGCTTAGGGCGTTGAAGGTCGCGCTTTGACGTAAAGCATTACGCCGAAGGCTCCCGATCCCGAGCCAGCGACCGCCAACATGAAGGGTATAGGGCTTCAGGGCTCGGGCTTTAGGATTTAAGGTTTAGGCTCTAGGGTTCGGGGTTTAGGGTTCCTAAACCCTAAACCCCGAACCAGGTTTTAGGATTCGGCTTGGGTTTTCGGGCCTTGCCGGTGACTGCAGCCGCACTAGAGAGCGTGTAGAGGAAGAGGAGCACCGGTGGGTAGAGCCACCCCGTCCACAGGAGGATGTCCTTTTTGGGGCCATGCGTTTCGTGTTTAGGGGGTTTCGGGCTTGGAGTCTAGGGGTTGGGGGGGTTTAGGGGTTTAGGGCTGGAGTTTTGGGGGTTGGGGGGTTTAGGGGTTTAGGGGTTTACGGCTTGCTGCTGCCAGTGGCATATAAGCTTCAGCATCATGGGGTTCAGGGGCCTCGGGTCACGGAGTTGAGACAGTCTGCGGTATACGGCGTGTGGGGGGGGCTTGTTGGGGGGGGTAAACACTGCCATTCATGGAGGTCTTGCAGGGTTTGGGGTTTAGGGTTTAGGGCTTAGGGTTTAGGGTTTAGGGTGTTTAGGGTTTTGGGTTTAGGGTGCAGGTCTTTTGGGTTGTTCTGTTCTGGCAGGTTGTTGAAGGTGCCGACGTGCTGCAAGAGACAAGACTTGACAAGACTGCAACTAATGCACTCTGGTTGCTCGTTTGCTTAGTTGCTGAGTTCATAAACCACAAAAAGTGTACACTTTTAGTTTTAGAGTGGCTGATATTATCCCAAGAAGTGTAAAGTGTATCTACTCAGCTACCAAGTTTGGTCATCCGGTACTTGTTCTGGTGCACATGACACTTCATTGCCAGTGGCTGTCAGATGCTGCTGCGTCGTTGCACAACTTCTCAAGCACTGCATTGCAACTGCATTTTCATGCCCCGCAAATCCCCATGCCTTGGCTGCACTAGCTGGAACTAAGTCGGAACCAAAACTTACAGCACCCGATACTGGCACGGACATCTTGCTTAAAATCATGCCCGGCAGGATGCAGCAAACGTACCTCAGATGAGCTCATATGAGCTCGTCGACCGCGCACTTAAGCCCGCACCATCTCCCAGGAACAACTACGGCTTTGCTCCCAGGAGCTACGGGGTTGCACAACAGGAATGGGCCGGGAGAGGACGAGCTCGTCCTGCAACATCAACCTCTCAAAGACCGCGCGGCGATGCCTGACTTCCTGCTCTGTGCCTGCCACGGTCTGCATCACCTGGACTGCTCTCTGTGTCTGGCGCTCCCTCATTTCGTCGTATACTGCCGCCCGCTGCAGCCAATGCCTTTGACGAAGGCAAGCAAGAAGAAGAAGGAAGCACTCGAATCCGAAAGCTACCAACAGACAGCAGCCAAGCACGTTAGAGTGCTCCCTATAGTGATTCTCAAGCTGCTTCTTGTCATGCTGTGTCTTGATCACGAACTGGATGCCTCTGACGCCAGCATAAGCAATGCCCACCCCTGCCAACTTCTGAGCAACTGCTTCTCCAGTCTTGGCAAGCTCCACGTGGGCCTCTGCCTGACTAGCCAATGCACGTGCCTCAACAGAGGCAACAGCGTCTTCGGCGTTTTTACCCTTGTGCCAACCTCCCAAAAATGAGAGGCCGGAACATACGATGAGCGCCTTGATGAAGTTCAAGAGTCCGAACATGGGTCACACAAGGTGATTGCGTTACCTGCGCCTCTACCCTAATATGACTCAGTCGAGCCGATTTGGGCCTATGCTCATGCAGTCAAGCACGGATCAAAAGTCTCGGTGAAGGAGTGCAAACACCTAAAGCCAACAACCTGCGACCATCGGAAAGCCATGCATGACCTAAACCCTTGGAAAAAGTCAATGTCCAGAAAAGCGAAGCCGGAGGCAGAGAGGTTCAGGGAGACCACCTGCCCGGAGACTCCCGTCGCGGTTTTTGAAAGGACATTATGGGGCTTCAGTCTTAAGGTGTCGAAAGGTTTTGTAAAGATTTCATACCCCTGTTATGGGTATTGCTTGGGGCGTTCGGTTGTTTCAAGGTTTTCTACAGGAGCTTCGGATGTGTTGAAAGACCTTCGAGGTTGAGGGATTTCATTTTAAGAGATATAGATGGTCCGATTTGACTTTAAGCGGCTTGGAGGTTCGGATCTAAGGAAGGATGTGCGGCTTACAGTTTTCGGAGACTCCATATCATCCATATCCCTTATAACCCATAAAAACCCTTCATAACTTAAAATGTCCTATCAGCGATTCAGGCTCCCATATCGCTGAGGTAAGGGATACTTAGTAAACTTATGGGCTGCTGGAAATGTTGGGGGCACCTCGCGTTGCCTGCTTCAGTGCTTCGGGATTCTTAGACTTTGATGTCTCGGCCTAAGCACATTCGGGTTTTGACTTGTGTTCTGGCAACGGTATGAGGATCAAAAGGTTGCCAAATTGAAGCTGTGGCCCCACAGCAAGAAGTACGAATAGAGCAACAACTCCGACTACAGCGACGACCTTGCGATGTGCCCCCTGATGGACTGTAATAACTCGACAGCTCGTGAGCCCAGTGAGCTTTGTAGCCCTAAACCCTAAACCACCCTGAATCCGAAACCCTGAACTTACCTTGGGTTGGTAGGGAATGGAGGAATGGGGTACAATTATAACTACGTACTACTAGTACTACCGCTCCATTTCCCACTAACCAAAGACAAATGAAAAGAGCCTGATAGGCGAAGAGGATCGAGGCTGCAATGCAGGAGGTAGCCAAGACAACGAGGAAGTCGCTCAGCTTCCCCGACGTCTGTCGCAGGGTCGCCTGCGACAGCTCTAGGGGCTTTAGGATGGCTTAAGGGCATTGGGTTCGTGGCTTAAGTTAGGCCTTGTGGCTGCAAGGTTTAGAGCCTGATGGCTTTAAGATTTGAGGCTTCGGAGGTTTAGGGAAGGAACCTACGTTTCTAGAACTCCGTAATATGATTTCCTTATATAAGTCCTCAAAAGGTAGGTTAAGGTCAACCCAAAGCCCTAAACCTGTCGTTGCCGAGTTTCGTGTTTGGTGTCCATCATCAACCCCACCTGCCGAACCCCAAACCTGTTTATCTCTTGCCTTAAACCCCAAATCCCTTCAACCCTTGACCCCCTAAAATCCTTAGTCCCCTTAACACCGAAGCCTTCAACAACCCTAAACCTTAAACCCCCTGAACCTTGCAAGGCATTGGCCATCCTTCTCAAGCCTTCAAAACCTTGCAAGGCCTGCCCTGAAACCCCAAAGCCCCGGCAGGAACCCCTAAGGATCCCTTCACGGAAGCGTTAAAAGAACCCCGGATCTGCCTTAAAGAACCCCTAGGGGATCCCTTCAAGGAAGCCTTCAAGAAACTCTTAAACCCTCAGCATTTTGTCCAAGGCCTGCACGACGTTCCAATCCAGGACCGCCTCCGCCGCGCTCCCGTTCTGGAAGCACCTGGCCAAACTTTGTAAAGGCTCCTAAGTAGTAACCTTTACAGGAATCCCTTAAAGGCTTCTTTAATAGGGATCTATGGGTTCTATAAGGATCTATAAGGGATCTATGGGGGTTTAAACCAATCTCTGGCCAGGCTCCCTTGGAGGTTCCTACATAAGGTTTGGGGTTTAGGGGTTTAGATTTTTGGGGTTCACGGTCTGACAAACATAAGTCCCGAAATTCCATTTCCGAAACCTCAACCCTCGTCATCTATCTAGTAGGATATACATGCTTAAAGTCTTATGGCTCTGGGGGCTAATTATTCAAAACCCAAATGAGAGAGCGTTAGGCCGCCAGGCAAGTCCAGGCAAACCTTGCGGCTTGTGGCCCAGGCTCGATACCCTAAACCTGACGAGCCCCCAACCCTGGAAGCCCCGGAAACCTTGCCAACCCTTGACCTAGCTATTTCTAGAAAGTACAGAACCTAACTTGGAAACCTAAAACTACTAAAAATTATACCCTCCAAAGTCAGAAGGAACGGCTTCACGCGAGCAAAGGTGGACTCAGCATGTATTCCTCTGAAGGCTTCAAAAGCACCATGCTCGTGGTAGAGATAGCAGGTGGAATTGTGAGCACGCAAGTAGCGCTCGCCCTCCATGATCCAGAGGAGGGCCACGTAGTCCCGCACAAAGAGATCCTGGTACCGTGTTCGGTAAACTGTCAAGCCTGCTGCCGCTGCACGTACCAACATGTCCGACCAGGCGGGCTGGCGCTCTTTCACGAACCCAAGTAGATAAGTTGTGTGTTGCAGAACAGTCCTTTGTCTCGGCGCAGGCTGATGGGGAGGTATTTCTGGGAATGCACCAGCTGTGGCTGCAGACAACTGCCCGAACATGTCGTCGAAGGCACGGCTGGTTTTCATTGCGGCCGGGGTGGCTCTTCTGCGCTTCGTGAGACTCTGCAGATCTTGCAGCTCTTGCTGGTCAGCTAGCTGTCTCTAGCAACACTGCTTGGGCCGATTCTGGGTCCAACTGGCCACTTGCCACTCGTACTTCCGAAACTTGCGTATTGTCTGCAAGGGCAAGCGACACTGACTCGTCCAGCTCCAGCTGGATCCGTTCGTCCAAAGATGTTTGGGAAATTGCAACGGGGCCAATCGCCCCTTCGCTCCCGCCTTCGACCTCCTCCCAACTATGACGGGCCTGAGTTTCATCTGGCACAGACAAGCTGTAAGGCTCACTTGCGCGCGAACTGTCGAGAAACTCTTTGTCCATGAGAACAGACTGCGGGGTCCATACCAAGCTACGCCGCAGGACAGAATTGATATTGGATTCTGCCACCCCAGCCTTTGAACGTCATGAGGGCATTCGTTTCGATCCGCTTCCAGCCGGTAATTCGAAGCATGCGAGTCACGTAGCCATAGGGCTTGCGACCGACCAAGTCGTCGGCACTTATCATCTTCTTGTACAAGTCTTCACGGAACGTCTCCTGGTACCGTGTTCGGTAAACTGTCAAGCCTGCTGCAGCTGCACGTACCAACATGTCCGACCAGGCGGGCTGGCGCTCTTTCACGAACCCAAGTAGATAAGTTGTGTGTTGCAGAACAGTCCTTTGTCTCGGCGCAGGCTGATGGGGAGGTATTTCTGGGAATGCACCAGCTGTGGCTGCAGACAACTCCCCGAACATGTCGTCGAAGGCACGGCTGGTTTTCATTGCGGCCGGGGTGAGTCTTCTGCGCTTCGTGAGACTCTGCAGATCCTGCAGCTCTTGCTGGTCAGCTGTCTCTGGCTTCACTGCTTGGGCCGATTCTGGGTCCAACTGGCCACTTGCCACTCATACTTCCGAAACTTGCGTATTGTCTACAAGGGCAAGTGCAACTGACTTGTCCAGCTCCAGCTGGATCCGTTCGTCCAAAGATGTTTGGGAAATTGCAAGGGGTCCAATCGCCCCTTCGCTCCCGCCTTCGACCTCCTCCCAACTATGACGGGCCTGAGTTTCATCTGGCACAGACAAGCTATAAGGCTCACTTGCACGCGAACGATGCTTTTGCAGAGGAGCTTCACTTCGAAGTCGCTGCTCTGTCGCTGCCTGGGCTGCCGACCGATCCAGTTGCTCTCGCGCCAGCTGGAGCTGAAGCTCTAGAGAATACTCTAAAGCCAGCTGACGCCAGGCCGTGCCATCTGGCATGTCCTTCGGGTGAGGAAGGTCGTCCAACAGACCCTTGTGATCAGATGATGATAGATCTGCAGAGCAATAGATCTTTCTGCTGATCTAGAAAATCAATAATAGCTCTTCCGCGGTACATTACCTTCTCCCACAAGCGTTTCGACAGGCTGCCTTTTGCAGCAGGGTCCGGCAGCAGCTTGACAGCTAAGGGATTCTGCTCCAAGAACTTGGCATGGCGCCGAACAGTCTTGCGGACAACACATGAAAACTTATCAGCTTCTTCTTCCAGTGTGAAAACTGTCTGGAAGAAGTTGGTTGCATCTGCATAAGGCTGCACATGGCTTCCACCGATGCCTTTAGGAGCGACCTGAAGAGAGCTACTTTTTCGGATGCTCCCAGGAGTCTGGGTTATGAGGCTTGTACTTGCGCTAATTTCCAGACCCTGCAGCCCTGAACTAACTATGAAGGCCCCAATGTTGGGTTCCGATCGTGAGACCACCCCACATACCAGGATCGTTTTGTCAAGGACCCACCTTAACTTAAGCAGCAAATTTCACATCCTAAACCCTAGATCCTGAGTCTGAGATCCACATTCAGCCCTACATCCCGAACTCTAGCCTACATCCTGAATCCCATATCCTAAGCCCCAAACCCGACACAGCTCTAGAAACCCTCCAAACGGTTCCGAACCCAGGCACCGCACGGCGAAGCTGTCCACGGCCAGCTCCAGGCCGGCCGTAAGATGCCTTTGGTTTAGGGGTTTTGGGTGGTTTAGGGTTTAGGGTGGGGCCGGGGGGATTACTAGCATGTGCGGTCTTGCTAGACACGGTATAGCTTGAAGGCATCAGACTCTCGAAGACTTGTGTTTGAGCTCACACCTTTGGGGGCGCAGGCTGCAACTCTGAAACCTGCATCCATCAACCCGAAAGCATCCTATAACTTCAACCCGACAAGCTCCAAATCCCGAAACCCTAAACCTTACTACACCCTTTAGAAGCTTCTCGTTCTTTCATATACATAGACAATATCTGAACCCTACAACCCCAAACCCTAAACCCTAAAACCTACAACCCCAAAACCCCCCAAACAGTACCAGCCAGGGCACAGGGTACAGAAGCATGTGGTCGAGTAGCCTCGCTGCATTTTTTTGGAATCTTATGGAGTCGAAAACAATACACATTACATGAATTAGTCATATTATTGACGGTACAAGCTGATATGTCAGATGAGGCTAGGTCTGAGAGAGTCAGGGTAGGGGTTTCTCCTAAACTGTAACACTCCGAGCACTGAATCGGTAAACATTCTTCGGCTCTCAATCTAAAGTTTCACAACAAGAAAGGAATGACATGTTGTGCATATCTCTGTAGCCTTAATGCAGTATTGGGGCCTGACTACTTAGACAGAAGTTTTTTGGGGGGCCTTTCTATCTTTGTCTAAGCAAGGAGCACGATTACTAAACATGCAAACTTCCATTTAACAAAAGTCTCCCCCACCCTTTCAACTCGATTCGGACTCCCTGTGCACCTGCGCCGGCTGTCTCTGAAACTCGTGCGCCCGGCACGAGCCGCTTTCTTAAAAACCCCAGTTAAAGTGCTTATAACCTTACTTACTAAGTCCCGTGATCCGCCAAGCAGGGTGCAGGGTTGGGGTGCAAGGTTAATTGTGTAAACCTTGACGTCTAGGGTGTAGGGTTTCAGGTCTAGGGCTTAGTTGCCCTAAACCCAGGTCTGTGGAAGAGAAACTTACTATGTAGAAGCCGTAAGAATACCCGAAACCCTCGCTAAAGCTGCAAAGTTTCAATCAATTCCTAACCCTTACCCTAAACCCTAACCCTCACGCACAGAGATCCTAAACCCTAAACCCGAAGCCCTGAGCCCTAAGCCCATCGTAAGCCCATGATCTGCCGGGTAGCATGCCGCCATGACAGTGAAGGCTACCATGGTAGCGCCATCCACCTGAGTGGCGCTTTGGGTTTCTTACAGTTCCCTGGAGATCCAAAAACCCTACCGCTTTAAGGGTTAGACCTATTTTTGAAGGGGTCACAACCTACTATTTTGTAGGGTCTGGGGCCACAGCTCTTTTTTGTAGTGCAATGGACCTTCGCTCGCACGAAATGCCCTGCCCAATTCGGGCATGCACTCTCTTGGAGGGGCAGGGGACTTAGTAAGTAGGTTGTAAGTAGAGTTAGAAGTACCTTAAATGGAGCTGCCCCAATTATGCCCTACTTATAAACGACTTACTAAGTCCCCTGCCCCTGCAAGTAGACCCTAAACCCTAAACCCCATAGATCCCTCTAAGGATCTCTTTAAGGAGCCCTTTAAGAACCCTGCCCAGGGCCCGGGTCCCAGGCTCTTGGGGTTTAGGGTTTAGGGTCCTCTGGGAGTTTCCGAAAATACTTAAAGGATCATGGGACTTAGTAAGTAGATTATGATTGGGGTTATAAGTCCCCTAAGTGAAGCTACCCTAACTATAACCTACTTATAACCCTACTTACTAAGTCCCATGAGCCTTTAAGTAGGGGACCCTAGTTTCGTACCCCAAATAGTAGGATCCTTCTTATAAGGACCCCAAAATAAGGTACCCCTAATTTTCAGAAACTCTAAACCCCAAACCCTTTATAGAACCCTTTATAGATCCCCTTATAGATCCCTTCAAAGGAACCCTTATGGATCCCTTTAAAGGTACCCCCTAATTTCGGAAACTCTGGAGCCCCTACTTCCTGGCATCCTTATGCCCTGATGCAGTGTGTTCGCGACATGTCCGAGCTCAGCTTAGGAGTTTAGGGAAACCCTAAACCCTAAACCGTTAACCCAAACTCTAAACCCCAAGCCAGGATTGAAACTTACCAAACTTGATGAGCAATGAGAGGTATGGTTTCTACGACACCTTGAGGTAGCTTGAGGTTAGATCATTGAAACCCTAAACCTTGCAAACTTGGACTCAAGTATCCAACCGATTCAGCTACACTCACTCTAAGTATCCTCTGAACCACGTCTATCGGCACTTCGCACCCGCCAAGGACGCTGGTGTAAGTTTTTTGTTGACATGGTAAATGCTCAGAAAGGCAGGCAACAAGCGACAGGCAGACAAATCACGCGTTGATGAAGGGCCCCGTCTAGATATCAATGTTCCACCTGATCCCTCCGCTTGGTAAACTTCGAACCAAACCTGGCACCATCTAAGGATGAGCACAGTAAGATGCGTAAGCAAAGCGGAACCTTACACAAGCACCGTGCCCGAGCGACGACGGGGTCGCGCACCAGCTTCCCATAGCCCGGGTCGCTCGTGAGGAACAGCGCCGCTGAGCGGCTACCCAGCATCAGCACGAAGAAGCTGCCTGGAAGCCCCCCACCCTGAAATGCCAAACCCCTGGCACATCCTAACGCTAAAGCCCCCAAAAGCCCCAAAATTCTAAACTCTCAATCCGAAAATCCCCTTAAGGATTAAAAGCCTGGCAACCTACACCCCAAGACCTGACACCCTCAGCACCAACTTCCAAGCTCTTTCAACAGCTCTGCTTGCTCTGCCGTAAACCCTGAACCCGAAAATGCAAAACCTGCAAAAACCCAAACACCCCATTTTGTTCCATGACAGTTCTTGAATCCTCCGTCGCCTCTTGCATAACCATGTCCAAAAAACGGAGAACAACATCTGTATAACCACACTCCCACCCGTACAAAACCTCGAACCGGAGCACTCTCTACATATACCGAATACCCTAAGGACATGGACTGCACAAAAAGAAACCTCCACCCAAGCCCCAGGGCGGCCTATCTGCCAAAGCCGCGCTTGCGACAGCTTCCTCCAGTCATCGAGGAAGTCGCAGTCTGCGGCCTTGGGCTTCGGGTCTTGCTTTAGGGTTTAGGGTTTAGGATGATTTAGGGTGGTTTAGGGCTCAGGGCTTGGGGTTTAGGCTTTAAGGTTTAGGGTTTAGGGCTTCGGGCTTAGGTTCCTATTTGGGTTCGGGCCTGGGATCTCGCGCTTCAGGGCTCAGGGTCTGGGGCTCTTGGCTTTGGGTTTAGGGTTTAGGGTTTAGGGTTTAGGGTTCAGGGTTTAGGGTTTAGGGTTTAGGGCTTAGGGTTTAGGGTTTAGGGGTTTAAGTCGGGTATTGTATAGTAAGAACTGTCCGGGCAGACTTGGGTGCACCTCCAGCAATACTATTCCTGGTAGTGAAAGTCTTGTCAGAGGTATTCAGGTCATTGCTGTTGAAACTACTGACGGCCTGGTTGATGCCACAGGAACCATCAACGCAGCTGCCGACATAAAAACAGAAGACCAAGCCTGCTTGCTTGTGAAAGGGCCACCCCCTGAACCCTAGACTCTGAACTCAAACCCTAAACCGTTACAGCACATGTTGATGAGCAGCGCAAATATCGGTTCTTTCGAAACCCTGACTAGGAAGCCCTGGGAAAAGATGCAGACTCTTAGGGAGAACTATCGTCCTCTCTCTGTCTGTCTCTCTCTATATACTGTATACATACATATATCCGTTTGTCTATCTATCTATCTCTCTCTAAACACATGGGAGTTTCCGAAATCAGGGGTACCTTACTTTGGGGGTTCCTCATAATGAGGATCCTACTATTCAGGGTACTAGATTAGGGTCCCCCCATCTTCCGAACCTCCCACCTGCAGCCTTTACGACGCAACCCTTATTGTACCTCGAGCCTGGCGGCATACTCATCGAGAACATGTTCCGCAGGCCCCAGCAGTCTTGTGATGTGCGACCTGCAATACACCCAGCTTCTGAGGATTTGTTGCATTACTTAGAGGTTCATGGAACTTGTCGCCAAGGTTCTGATAAAGGTTACTACACCTATACGTACGTCTAACCCTGATCAAGGTGCCTATAACTTACAGTTCCTCGAAGTAAGGCTGCTAAGGGTATCTACTTGACACGACACGCCGTCAGCAGTTCAAGAAAGCGTTGCAAAACCCTACAAACCCCTACAAGAACCTGCAAAAACTCTACCATAAATCGAGAAAACATCTACTACAAACCTACAATCACTCTAGCAAAAACCCTGGAGAAGCCCTAACACTAAACCGCAAACCCTACTTGCCTCTGCTTACTTGGAGGGTCGGGGGAATTACTAAGTAGTTGCTTCATAGAGTTATAACTACCATAACCCCAATGAAGATCCCTTTTAGGGTACTTGTCTGAAAAACTCTACTTGTTGCCTACTTACATAGGTCCCCCGACCCTCCAAGTAGCTCAATCCGCCTCCGCAGGCTCAAGGTGGCCATCAAGGCTCCCAAAAGGTACAGGGCCGTGGTGATCAGCGGCTCGATCTGCGGTTACGGGCTCCGGGGTTCAGGGGTTTAGGAGTTTAGGGTTCAGGGTTTAAGGTTTAGTGTTTCAGGCTAGGGTTGAGGGTTTACGGTTTAGGAGTTGAGTGTTTAGGGTTCGAGGTTTTGGTTTTAGGGTATTAGGCCAGCTTCAAGTTTTGCTGTCTCGGGCAACGGGTTTAAGATTTAGGATTCGTGATGCGACGACGTTGACCATGCATCTCCATTGCTCTTTGAAATGCTTCAGGGATGTTAATAGCTGGGGAGGGGCAGGGCTTCGGGTCATGCGGATTTGGCATTTAGACTGTGCCTTCGGGGAAAGAAACACAATTTCATATTAACTGAAAAAGCCTATGCTCATAGCCCTAAACTTAACCTTTACACCCTAACCATACAAGAGCTGTAAAACCCGTAGCGCCCATATACCCAAGAAACTACAAGCTCTACACTCCGTAAACCCTAACGCCCAAACCCTCTACACCTTTAAAGATCAGGTCCTTACATGGAGGATCATGGGACTTAGCAAGTAAGGTCATAAGTACCTTAGTTGGGGTTATAAGCAAGTATAAGTATAGTTACCTATACTCACACCTCAAGGACTCTTTCAGTTTCAGCATCCTAAACGCAAGTCGCAGATAAAGTTCGAAACTCGTAAAACCTACCAGGACAGCCCCCAAGGGCCCTTTAATAGAGCCCTTGTGGTCCCTAATAGTGTGAATTTGGGGTACAGTGGAGGTAGTTGGGGGGCTCCAGGTAAAATCTACAATTTAGGAGTCACCAGACCCGCGAGTAGACCCTAAACCCTAAACCCCATAGATCACTTTAAGGAACCCTATAGATCCCTTTAAAGAGCCCTTTAAGGACCCTTACTAAGTCCCATGACCCTTTAAGTAGATCCCAAACCCTAAAGCCCAAAGACCCCACTATAAATCCCTTACAGACCCCTTTAAAAGGAGCCTCTACACCGTAAACCCTTAAACCCTAAACCCCTAACCCCAAACCCTCTACACCTTTAGAGACCAGGTTCATAGATCCCTTAATAGACCCCTTTAAAAAAGGAGCCTCCAAACCAGATCAGGTCCTTACGGAGTCTAAGTATTCAGGAGTCTATTACCCATAAATAATGAGGAATATACCATAATTCCCATAGTTTAAGGTCCTGAAGGTAATGCAGGATTTATGTCATCAACCCTTACGGAGTCTTGCCCGCCTTTAGATCCCATTAAGGAACCCTTATAGATCCCTTTCAAGGAGCCCTTTAGAGCCTTTAAAAGAACCCTATAGATCCCTTAAAAGAGCCCTTTTAAGGAGCCCTTTAGAGCCTTTTAAAGAGCCCTATAGATCCCTAAAAAAAGCCCTAAAAGGGAGCCCTTTAGAGCCTTCAAAAAAACCTATAGATCCCTTAAAAGAGCCCTAAAAGGGAGCCCTTTAGAGCCTTTAAGTACGGAGTCTTGCCCGCTCTGGCCTCGGCCACTGGGCCGCGCCAGCTCCCGAGGACGAAGGCCAAGGCCGCCAGTCCCAGCATCTCACAGCGACGGGAGGGGCTTTAGGGCTCTTTTAAACGGGTCTCTAGGGCTCTTTTAAGGCTCGGTTAAGGGATCTGTCGGGTTGAGAGTTTAGGGTTTAGGGTTCTTTGAAGGGGGCTTTAGGGCTCTTTCAAGGGATCTCTAGGGTTCTTTGAAGGGATCTCTAGGGCTCTCTTAAGGGATGTCTAGGGTTCTTTTGAGGAGTTTTTGGGGCGCTTTTAAGGGATCTGTAGGGCTCTTTTAAGGGATCTATAGGGTTTAAAGTTTACGGTTTAGGGTTGAGGGTTTTGAGTGTAGGGTTCAGGGTTTAGGATTTAGGGTGAAGGGTTCGGTTTGGGGTTTTAGGCTTCGGGTTTAGGCCGTCGGTTTAGATTTCAGAGTTTAGGGATTGCCTGGCATTGAGGTTCTCTTTCCAAAACAACCCCCGCTTCTGGAGCTGGAGACTGTGTTTTCTGGAAAACGCAAGAAGAACCGTGAGGTTTCTCATTTGGGGAGGTGCGAAGTTTGGGAGTTAGATTGTGGGGTGTCATATAGGGTGATTGCTAGGGTAGCTACAAGTACAGATTCGTAAAATCCCCAATGAAGGTACTCATCATGTCAACCTGACTTACTACGTCCCACGCTCCTTGAACCCGAAAGCTGTGCAAACAGAGCCTGGAAGACCCTGAGCTTAGCGCTATTTGGGCTTTGCCTTCTAGGCTCTTGGAACAGGCTACCGTAGAGAGCCCTTCACGCCAAAGAAGATTTTCTTGCAGTATACACGTACAGAACCGGGTACCCCTGAACCCCTGAACCCCTACACCCCTAAACCCGTAACCCGAAATCCCTAAATCCCTAAAGCCTAAATCCCTAAACCCTTAAACCCCTAAAGCCTGAAAGCCCTAAACCCCTAAGCCCAAAAGCTGCATGCCCCGGCCTGCAGCAGCAGGATGCAGCGAGTAAGCAGCCGCCAGGCAGCGCCCTCAAAGAAGTCTAAGATGCCCACCTGCCAGGACGAGGCTCCTAAACCTCATACTTAGAGGATCATGGGACTTAGTAAGTAGGTTATAATTGGGGTTATAAGTCCCCTAAGTGGGGTTACCCTACTTATAACCTACTTATAACCTTACTTACTAAGTCCCATGATCCTTAAAGTAGGGGAAAAGGAGGGACCCTTAATGGGGACCCCTATCCTATAATGGGGCTATATAATGGGTATATAATGGCTATATTAAGGGTATATACCTAGGGGTCCTTATTAAGGGTCCCTCCTTTGAAAACCTGGGTGCTCACGATTTAGGGCGGGCTGAGGGTTTAGAGGGTAGAGGGTTTAGGGTTTAGGGTTTAGGGTTTAGGGTTGAGGGTTTAGGGTTTAGGGTTTAGGGTTTAGATTTAGGGCTGAGGGATGGTTTAGGCTTGAGCTTTCTATCCTAAATAGCCACTGTTAAGGACCATAAGGCCACAAAGGCTCTGTTGAGGTGCACCTGCCGCCAGGCTTGTTTATTCAGGGTGCAGGGTCAAAGGTTCGAGGTCTGGGGTGCAGGATGTCGGGTTTAGGCTCAAGGGTTTGAGGCTGAGGGTGTAGGATTTGGGGCTTAGGATACACCATCAGACTTGATACGGAACAGCCTGTTTCCAAGGGTAAAAGGAGGGACCCTGAATAAGGACCCCTAGGAATATAGCCATTATATACCCATTATATAGCCCATTATGGGGTAGGGGTCCCCATTAAGGGTCCCTCCTTTTCCCCTTTGATTGTTCAGGGTGTAGTTGTAGGAGGGCGTGGGGTCGGGTAAGCTCCATCCCGAGTCGAAGACACTGACGCTTACTCCGTGAGCCTACGCTCTCTACTGAACCCAAAGCCCTGGAGTTTTCGCCAAGCCCGGCCAGGGAAAGGAGGAGCCAGCCAGTCCTGAACAGGAGCAGGTTTAGGGTTGAGGACACGACCACTTCGCAGTATTTGTCCAAGACGTCGATGACTCTCGTTACATTCTTGATTTGTTAGAACCTTGTAACACTTTAGGATTGTGCTATCCTTACGCCCAACCATCCGCAGTCCAAAAAACAAGCAACGCAGTGCCCGTATTGAAGGATTCAGTGCTTTACGGTGACCGAGGGCTTGGCCGCTTTAGCATCCAAAACCTTAGATTAGGGTCTGGGGTCTCGGCTTCAGTGTTCAGAGTTTAGGGTCCAGGGTTCAGGGCCCTAAATTCACAACACACGTACCGACTCCGCTTCACATACCTTCGATGCACATCCGGTCCTCGAGAGCGCTGACAGTCGGGCCTCCGCCAGCGACGGCGGCAGCCGGGGGGCGAAGATGACGTCGTCCTCGCGTCTTGTCGGGCTCTTTCGGGCTGCAGGGGTTTTAGGGTTTAGGGTTTAGGGTTTAGGGTTTAGGATTTAGGGTTTAGGGTTTAGGGTTTAGGGTTTTGCTTATGCCCCCTTGAGCTTTTGGGCTTCAAGGCTTCAAATACGCTTAAAACCCTAATCTTTGGGGCTTCACGGGTCTTAAAACGCTTTACAAGCGCTTGAAACCTCTAACCTTTTGGGCTTAAGGGGTGTTAAAACGTTTAGGCCAGGCTGCCCTGTATTTATAGGGTCCTTAAGGGAGCGTGATTCAAGGGGGGAGGGTAGGAAGGATCCTTAGGGAACCTTAGGGGGCACTAGAGAGAACTAGGGATTAGTAGCTGATCATGCTGATCTACCCCCTTTGGAGCCCCCTCCCATAAGGATATTGTAATGTATCATGGCCGAAGTTTGGGTTTTGTAGGGCTCAGGAGCGCAGCGTTCTTCAGGGCTTTGGCTTTGGGGGTTGAAGATATTGACGGCTTAAGGGTGGGGGATTTCGGCTTTGGATTTAGGGGTCAGGCTTTCATGATGCAGGATTTAAACATCCGGAAGTTTCTGGATTTTGGGCTCGGGACACCATAACAACCCTGACCCCAAACCCTAAACCCTAAGCCATAAGTCATGCGCGTTAAAGCGCTATCATGTTGTCCGCTTCTCGAAAGTGCATCGGTGCAGACTCTGGCATGCTGAAAGACCCTTTTAAAGCCCCGCGACGAGACCGCAGAAGGGAATCCTGCAGAAGCCATCCCTCAATCCGGGATTAGGGTGTACGGTTTAGCGGCCAAAGCTCGAACCTATTAGTCAAACTCTCACCCCCAAACCCTCAACCTCAAATGCTCACATTCCCTCAACTGCCTCGTCCCCACCTTCTGCGGCGCCGTGGCCGTGATGATCGCGTCATGACTGGCCCGCAGCTCATCGAGCGACTTGCGTCGCAAGAGGCGGACCATGTCCTATTGTCTCTAGTTTTTGGGTTTGGGGTTTAAGGTTTAGGGTGACAACTTCGAGGATTTTAGGATCTAGGGCTTCAGGATTTGAAGGTTAGTTCAGGGCTCTAGGCTTTGGGGTTTGTAGGTTCGTCCACCTCAGCCCACCACAGCCCCCAGCCCAGCCCAAAACCTACCGGGACCCGCGCTCCCTCTGTACAATGTCTACAGACCCCTAAATCCTGAAACCCAAACCCTAAACCTGTAAAGCCTAAACCCTAAACCCTACCCTCCCAAGACCTTTCCAAAAAGCCCGTCATTAAGGAACATGCCTTAAATCAGATAAGACATGCTACCATAATTTCAATGTCCACTCCTTAGTTCAGGGGATATTGGAAGGTCTGGGTCAAAAAACTTATTGGGATCCCAACCCCTTTACAACGTCTATAGACCCCAAACCCTGAACCCCTAAACCCCATTAAACCCCCCTCCCGGTGCTAAACATGCCTAATCCCTAAACCCTCCCACCCTCCGACCCTCCTGCTTGCTTGCAGTCGGTCCCAGAGCGCCAGTCCGCAGCACGACGCTCCTCGGGTGCACGGCTCGTTTCGAATGCTTTTCCAAGGGCCTGGGTTGGGGCTCCTCTTTAAGGTATAGGGTTTAGGGTTTAGGGCTCCTCTTCAAGGGCTCTATGAGTGAGGGTAGATAGGGCTTCCTGTGAAGGTTCTATGAGGGTTTCGAAGGGTCAATAAGGGCTCCTCTGCAAGGGTTCTATGAAGGCTTTATACGGGTCTACAGGAGTTCTTCTACAATGGTTCTATATCGGGTGTAGGAACTTGCGGCAAATCACCCTCGTAGGGCTTTCTGGGTATAGAGATTGGGGTATAAGTTTCAAGTGAAACCCCTTAACGATCGCTCGTCGGTTAAGGTTCCACGGGAAATCCCTTTACGGTCATGACACGGCATGCCACCCTTCTTGAAAAAGAGTCTCGATGTAGCGACAGTACTACTAAAGCATCACCACGGGAATGAATCTTTGAATTGGAGAGCCCTTGTAAACACAAACCGAGCCTCATGTTCCTGACAACAGTGTGGGACACTTATGTAATATACTCTCTTGAAGCCCTGTGAAACTCTTAAGGCTCCATGACACCCGAAAAGCTAATGAAACAAAGGAGACTTCACCGCACCAAAGCTCCTTGTGTTGGGTGCCGGCTGTACCGGCTCGTCCACCGACACGCAGGAGAAGGAGCTGGTTTTGTGAAAAGGGGGCACCTCAGCCGGTTGTTTGCTTTAGGTCCAGGTTTAGGATTTAATATAGTGGCCGTAATCCTAAGAAGAGGGTTTGAGATGTCTGGGGGTACATTACGTATATTATTGAGGCCTCGACATTAGTTCGGGCCCTGAGGACTTGAGCTCTACGTTTCGAAGGCCCTTCCGTTGAACGTCACAAGCCATGCAAAGGTCTAGGTTTGGGGTTTAGGGGTAGGGGGTTTAGTGGTTCGTGGTTTTAGGGGTTTAAGGCCTCATGCTTTGGGGTTAAGGTCTTCGGGTGTGGGGTCTAGTTTTCAAGTTTCAGCACCCTGCACCCTGTGCACCCAGCTGCGAGAGAATCTTATAACCCTAAACGCTGAAGACCCTGAACACCAAAAGCCTAGATCCCAAACCCCGAACCCTAAATCACCGAAATCTCAAAATTCTTAAACCCTAAACCCTCAATCTCCTCAAACCAGAAACCCTGTACCCTAGATCCCAAAGACCCCGGACCTAAACCCGAAATTACTTACTGAGTCGCATGATCCTCCAAGTAGACCCTAAACCCCAAAACCTGTAATTACATCCCCTTCTAGAGCCCCTTTTAAGGAACCCGTTTAAGGAACCCGTTTAAGGAACTCCTTTGAAGGAACCCTTTAAGGAAACCTTTTAAGGAGCCCTTTAAGGAGCCCTTTAAGGAGCCTGTAAAGGGAGCCTTTTAAGGAACCTATAAAGGGACCTTTAAGGAACCCTTTTAAGGAACCTCTTTAAAGGGAACGCTTTAAGGAATCCTTTTTTGGGAACCTCTTTAAAGGGAAGACTTTAAGGAATCCTTTTAAGGAACCTCTTCAAAGGGAACACTTTTAGGAATCCTTTTTTGGGAAGCCCTTTCAAGGAGCCCTTTTAAGGAACCCCATCTAAGGAGTCCTTTCAGGAACGCTTTAAAGGGAAACCTTTTAAAGGGAACCCCGCTCCCTTTAAGGGAACCCCTTTATTAAGGAGCCTTTAAAGGGAACCCCAAAGGGAACCCCCCTTTTAAAGGGAACCCTTTAAAGGGAACCCCAAAGGGAACCCTTTAAAGGAGGCCCCCTTTCCGCTTCCATCCGCGCCGCCGGGGCGGCGGGCGTCGAGTCTGAGCTGCCCTTGGGGCTCGCCTGCGTAGAGGCTCAGGGAGGGCTTCGTAACTTTAAGTTTGGGGGTTAGGGGTTTAGGGGTTTAGAGGTTTAGGGGTTTAGATGTTTAGGGTTTAGGGGTTTAGGGGACTTCGTAACTTTAAGTTTGGGGGTTTAGGGGTTTAGGGGGTTTAAGGTTTAGGGTTGAGGGGGTTCAGGGGTTAGGGTGTTAGGGTTTAAGGGCTTCAGGGTTTAGGGTTTAAGGTTTAGGTTTCGGATTTAGGGTTTAAGGGTTAAGGTTTAAGGGCTTCAGGGTTTAGGGTTCATGGGACTTAGTAGCTTTAAGGGGTTCCTTATCCTCAAAGGGCTCCTGAAAGGGTTCCACAAAGGTTCAAAACCAGGGGCGCTAGTGTTTACTTACAGGTTCATGGGACTTAATACCTTAAGAAAGCTTCCTGAAAGGCTTCCCTAAAGGCTTCCTTACAGGCTTCCTTGCAGGCTTTCTTGAAGGGTTCCAAAGATGGTTCCAGAAGGGATCTATATTGTTTGGGTTTTAGTTAGTAGGTTTAGAGTCTATTTGGAGGTTCGTGGGACTTAGTAAGTGAGCTACAAGAGGCTTCTAAGCATTCATAAATATCGTTGCCTGATTCATAACCCTACTCACGAAGTCAAATATATTTCCTTTAAGTGGGGTTGGCTTAAGGCCTGGGTTTAGGGCCGTTTCTGTCTTGGGGCTAAGCTAAGTGCTTAGGGCCCAGGGCTTTAGGGCTTCGGGTTTTGGGGTTTAGGGTCTCGGGTTCCAGGGGTAGGGTTTAGGACAGTTTAAGGTTTCGGGCTGCTGGGCTTTAGGGCTTAGGTGCATTTCGTTGTTGGAAGGCCTGTGCCTAGTTAGCAACTGGATTTGAGAGGGTGTTTGGCACTTAAAGCTTCAGACACCGACTTTAAGTTTCGTTTAGGGTGTAGGGTTTAGGTTTTTGTTTCAGTGCAGTGGCCTTTAGAGCTTAGGGTTTAGGGTTTAGGCCTTGTGTAGAGTTTAGGGTTTAGGGTGGCCTTTAGAGCTTTGCGTTGTGAGTTTAGGGATTGTGTATGTGTATGCAGAAGCCTTCTTAATCTTCTTTAAACCCTAAGTTCCCAGGCCCTGGCAGCCTATTGCAACACAACGAAACCCCAGACCCCAAAGCCCCACCCTCAAATATCAAAAATCCAAACCCCAAAACCCTCAACCCTGAACAACCTTCAGGGAAGCCTCTACAGTTCAAGAAGCTGGAATGACGATGTGCAAACCTTGAACCTAGGAACCCTAAACACCCAGAAACCGCCAATAGAACACACCCTCCCGAACAAACGAAACTTCTTCTAAAAACCCGTGGAAACGGGCGAAAGAACCCGAAAGCAAAAAACAAGACGCCCTCCTGGGCGAGCTCTCGCCGGAAGTCAACGGAACCGACTGACTCCACACTGGCCAAAGTAGACTTGCCTGGCTGCTCTAAAGTCGTGGGGGCAAGGGTTTAGGGCCTAGGGTTCTGGGTTTACGGATAAAGGTGGAGTCTTGGGTTCTCTAAGCAAAAAACCCGGTACAGTTCAGGGCTTAACATTTGGGGTTTATGGCGTTAGGGGCGAAGAGTTTAGGGTGGTTCTTTATGAAAAAACCGTCGGTGGCATAGGGTTTAGGGTTTGGGGCAAAGCCGCTTTATTAAGGAACATACCTGACTTCCTCATCAATAGCCGTAAGGTTCGGCGCTTAACTTTTACAGTTCGGGGCTTACTGCTGTGGGGTTCAACGCTTGGAGGTTGGAGTTGGGGCAGCTGTTGAGGGTTTCAAGCTTGTGACCTGCCTGGTTGCCAGGCTCAAGGTTTACGACTCTTTTCTGTGTCTGTTTACAACGACGCCTTAAATTACAAGACCTGAGTCCGGGTTATCAACTTGCAACTCTTTTTGAGCCAAAGTAGCTTTAAAGTTCTGGCTTTGGGGCTCATGAGGACAATCCTTTCGCTTCGGATCGATATTGCCTCTAGCAGGGTTCAAACCCTTGTGTAGAAAACGTCCAAGAGCGTAGGGATTCATGGTGGGAGTTGAATACAAGGGTTTCGCGTGCAGGGGTTCAAAGTTTAAGGTTCATGGTTGGGAGCTTAGGGTTCAGGGTTCGGGTTTAGGGTTTAGGGTTTAGGGTTTAGGGTTTAGGGGTTCGGGGGTCAGCGGTGTGGAGTGTAGGGCTGCAGGCATTGGAGTTTAGAGCTTGAAAACTGAAGCGGGGGTAGCGCTTTCGGGCTTGCGGTGTTGGGCTTTCAGGGTCTGGAGCTTAGGAACCCGATGAGCCTCTCTCTTGCAAGATCCTAGGGTTTGGATGCGTTTCTTGTTGAGGGCTTGGGTTGATCTCATCTGCAGAGTACGATACTCCTGAGTAACGAAGCACGTGAATCCAAAGGCTTGGGCTGCTTGCGTCGGAGCCTTCGCGTACGAAGTTGAGGGCTTCAGGGATTTGGGGGGTTTAATGCTCGGGCGTAGGATAGCAGGCAATATACGTCAACCCTAAACCCTAAACACCTAAACCCTCAGCCTTAAACCCAAAGCCCTCCTTTTCTGACAAGCGTGAGAGATGCCTCGACGCAGCTTCCCCCGCAACTTCCGCGCCGTGTGCTCCTTTCGGAGTTGCTTCTTAGAGTTTTTCTAGGGTTCTACTTCGACAGGGACTTCATGGGGAAGCCAAAAAAAACCCTAAACCCGTAGTTGTATGAAAGTTAAAGGTTTTCGGGACGAGCTTCGGGTTGCAAGTGGGGATCAGATGCCCAAGACGACCTTCAAACACAGAACGATCCGTTTGAAGTTCTGGATTTAGTGTGTAAGGTCCTTCATTTCGTAATCAAAACTTCGGGAAACTTGTGAGGGTTATTCACCCACACATGAAAGACGAGGGAGCGTGGAAAGACTAGAGCAGCTTGGAGGATCTTCACCCGCCGCAACCCTCAGCCCTGGGTCCAACAAAGCCCTAGGCAACCCGCAGCCTCAGATGCTCTTAATTACCCTTTGGTTAGTAGGGAATGGAGCAATGGGATATAACTATAACTACTGCTACTACCATTCTGCCATTCCCTACTAACCAAAGGTAAGCTTACACCTGAACCCTGGATTGTCCTCCAGCAGGTCCATCATCTTGTACATGGACGGAGTACTGTCCGTCCGCTCGCTGAGCTGCGACGGGGACTGCTCCCCTAGCTTGGCCCGCGCCTTTTGCACAGCTTAAGCGCTCATGCTGCATGCTTGTCTTCTTTCCAGAAAATCCTAGTGTGAAGCACGGCTCTGCTAAATTGGGCCCTTAACTGGCACAGCCACTATCAGGCAGTACTAGACCACGCAACTTAACAGGAACCCTGCGCTCAAAACCCCCAAGCCCTCAACCCTAATGTTCCACACATTCAGTCAGCCCAAGATTCTGGACCCAATTTCCCCAAACGACATTTCAAAACACGGAGCCGTAAGCCATGCCTCCTTCAAAGGAGCGATGCCCGAGCTCTGCGAGATTCGATCCTGCGGGCTCATTGCGGTTTGCGCCGGGTGCTACGGAAGGCATGAGGGAAATTTGAGGCCTTTTGTGACTTAGGGTCTACCTCAACCGTATAACAACCTACCTTTCCAAGGTTCTTTGGGTTTAACCACCGACACTAAACCGCAGGACGGGGCAGAAGGTTGAGGATCTCAGGCTCTGGGATTGGAGTCCTCCAAAGGCGGGATGAAGGTAGGTGGGGTAATCCCAAAAAATGAATCCTTCTATGAGCGATCCTTAATCCAACCTTCATCCCACGTTTTGAAGCCCCTGCAAGCTTCATTGTTCGTGAGTTTCGGGTTGATTCTCAGAGTTTTGGGTGTCGGGCTCGGGGTTTAGGGCTATTGGGTTCTTCTTCAGGAACTTAGTTTAAGGTGCCGTGATAAGGAAACCGTCTAACTCACAATGGCTCCCCTATTGTGGTGGTTTCTTAAGTTGAAAAACTTAGCACGAACCCAGGCCCAGATGCCCCCCGAACTTTATGAGAAGTGAGGCTTGGAGCCGATTACCGGTTTTAAGATGATTGTTTAGGGTCTGTTGTGGTACACAATAGCAAGACAGCAAAAGCGACATCTGAAAACCCTTAGCTCACCTGGAATGCCACGAATCTTAAACCCTAAATGTGCCTAAACCCTAAACCTAATACTCTAAACCCGAATACCCAACACACCTCAACTCTGCAGTCTCCTTGAAACTCCCTGAAACCCCAATACACTACGTGTCCGACCCACTTCAAGGTAGTCACGGGGTTTCGAGAACAGAGCTTTAGGCGCTGCAAGCCTTTGGGGTCTTCGAGTTTAGTATCTAGAGCTTTAAAGCTTCACCCAAGCACCTAGCTCCTTCAACGGATGAGGATTTGGTGCCTAAGGTTTAAGGCTTAGGGTGTGGGGGTGCAAGCTTTGCATACGGTTTAGGGTGTCCTTCAAGGGGTTCAAAGGCATCGACGGCATCGAAGGATGGGCGCCAAGTCGCAAGGACTCGACAGAACGCTCCAGTCGGGACAGGCTCTGCCCGAAGTCTCGAAAGTCCAACCTGGGGAGGTCTACACGGGTTCGCCAAGGTTTCTATAAGGCTTCAACAAGCTGGAGAAGGGGCTGGTTATGAGGATTTTACAGGGGTTCCATAAGGGCGATCAGTAACACGGAATAGTAGGAGCTCCAGTCATGCTGCTGGTACGAACACATGCTGATTAGAAAGCTAGAGATACTGGTCCTCAAGCAGCAGCAACAAGACAGAGTCAGTTTTGCATACAACCACGCGGCAGCTGTTCGCTGATCTGCGCCAAGGACATGCGCAAGTGCTCCAGCTCATGCCGAATTTCTTGCGTGAGCTCCATGGCTCCTCTTAACTTTGATCCCTGAACCTTGAACCTTAAACCCTAAAACTAAAATCCTACTGTAAGCCCTGAGCAAGATTTATAAGACAAACTGCGAAGCGAGAAGAAAACGAAGCAAGGCGGAGTTTGAATAAGGAGGGCCATGGTCCGAGAATATTTTGTCATGATATCAAAAACCTTGAAACAACGCTTGGGCTCAGTTCTTTGAAATCTTCAACAAAACAGAAGCAGCTACGCTACAAGGTGGGCTCAAGGCTGCTTCCATATCACGACGGACCGACATTGTGTTTAGTATGTGGTCTGGAGATTAAGATTTCAGTTTCAAAATTTAGGACTTAAGGTTTGGGGTTCGGTGTCGGATTTCACGGCAAGCCGTAATGGCTGCATACAGCAGATCATAAGCCCAACATCCCGAAAGAGGCATCAAGAGGAGGGAGATGCAGCTCCAGACTACTGACCGTCATGTTCACATCTCAAAGCTTGCTTGTTGTCACCTTGAACACCCGATAATAACGACGGGAATTGGGCACGTGCAAGAACAATTCGTTGATTGTGTGGGATCAAAATCAACACGTGTCCACAGCACGCAATTTTCAAAAACGTTTGGAAACAAGCCTTGTAAGTACTCTGTGTGTGTGGGGGACGGAAGCTTCCCAGAGAGAACGTTCATGGGCTGAAACAGTTTGAGTTAGCAGCATTTCTCTTTTGTTCGTGGCAATCAAAAAACTCTGAATAGGTTTGGTGGAGCTGATAAGAACCCTTCAAGCAACGCGTGTTTGCTGCCGTATGCTTTAGCATATCCAGGGTTTATTTTTTTTGGCATGGTCGGGCTTCGGTGACAGTGGCTGCTGCGCTCAGTCCCTATAAGAAGCAAGAAAGCAAGAACAGAAACTATACAAGGCTCAAAGCTTCGAAGAGCTTAACTTTACAAAGGCCGGCAAAAAACCGCAGGTTCGAAAACTACGTCATCTACCCTGCACCGGCAGCGCTGCACAAGCCTCTCAGCGAGCTAACCCTCCAAACTGTACAAAGAAGGCAACAAACTGCTCAGCGACAAAACAGAGGTAGAAGACGTCCAGCCTACAGGAAGAAGCAGTAAGTCAAGGTTGGAATCCGGAGAAAAGGCACTGCCTGAAGCAGGGAAAACGAAGGTAATGCGAGCAGCCAAGCAACGACAGAGCAGAACCTGAACCAAGACCTAAGAGAAGCAGCGTTCTCACGCTTGCTCACTGAAACCTTACAACCCGGTGAGAAAAGCATTGCAACCTTGCAACCAGTTGGAAAAAAGTCACTGCCCGATGCTGATGCTAAAAGGCAAGCAAAGAAGCGTCCCTGATGCGCCTACTTAGCTTCCGCAAACCAAAACACATTCAAACAAATGTGCAGTGGAGCTGCGTTGGTAGAAACACTTGAGTCAAGAGAATACCCTGCTCCTAGGACCGACTCACCAGCAGGTGAGAGAGACAATGGAGAAGAGATTGTGCCTGAACCGGTGCCCTCTCTTCCGATTGCCCTTCGTAGGATTCATGAGAAGCTCAAGGATCCAGTTGAACTTTACAAGCTTCATCTGAAGCACCGTCACATGAATACAGATCAGTTCAAAAGAAGGACAAAGGCTCTTCAGATTCCAAAGGAAATTTACGAGCTTTACGACCAACTGGTCAAGAAGTGCTCAGCTTGTCAGGAACATAAACGAGCTCCTTCAAGGGCAAAAATAACAGGTCTAAGATCCGAAACTTTCGGGGATCTGACTTTCGTAGACCATGGTGAATTGCCAATTCCTGGCAAGTCTAGTCGACTCATATTTCTCATACTCTATGATGGAGCGACAAACCTCCTGACATCTGAAGTTGTTCAGGATAAGGAGGAACATACAACAATGTCCATCATGAATGATTATTTTGAGAAATACCAAATCAACCCAAAGGTTGTTGTTGGAGATCAAGCCTTCATGACTCCAAAAATGGAGGCCTATTATAATCGGCAGAACATCAAACCTGTAGCGACAGGCCCTGGCACACCATGGCCCAACAGGGCCGAGGCAGCTGTACGATTGTTGAAACATCAGATCAAGATCATACTTCAGATTCTCAAGGATGGTGATCCAGAGTATAATGGTATCACTATGGAGTATGGTAACTTAGTGCGTCAGGCATGTCTGGCAAGAAACTCCTCAATTACATACGGAGGAGTAACTCCTCTGGAAATGGCTTTCGGTAGACGTCCCCGAGATGTTATAACACCTGAGAACGCGGACCCCAATCAGTTAACCGGTAACCCTACTGATACTGAGGTTACAGCAAGAGCTATCAAGGAGCTTGCCAACAAGGCCTACCAAGAGGCACGTCAATCTGATGACCTCAGAAGACATCTCGCGTCTCGACTCTCTATGACCGAAGGACCCTTCTCTTTAGGAGATAAGGTCTATTATTGGTCAGAGGATAAATCAAAAATCGGATCAACCGGATCCAAACATGGATCTTGGCTTGAAGGAAAAGTTATCTCCGAACTCGGAGGCTCCATGGTAGGTGTTGATCTCGGCACCCGTATCGTCCGTGTGAACATCTCAAAACTGAGAAAGAACTATGACATCACATCTGATGTAGAGATTCCCCTGGCACCAGATGAGGAAACTCTCACATCGGAAGGTTCAGACCATGCCAGCTGCATGGTCACCTTTGATGCTTCCTTGTTTTCATCAGATCTAACAATACCTCATCAGGAGTGCCACTGGCAGGTAACCAATTCAGGAAAAATTGATTTCCTAGAGCTCTACGGAGGTTCACCTCGTATGAGTCACAAGGCTGCCCTATCGGGATTAAGAGTAGGACAGCCGATAGACCTGCGCAGTGGACTAGATCTTGAACAGCCCCAAGGCCGTTCAAATCTTCTAAGAATCATCAAGGAACAAGAACCTTCCATCATTGTGATGTCTCCAGACCATTCCCAATGGTCCAGCTGGTATTCCCAGTGGAAGAAAGGCTCTAGCAAGAGACTTTCGATTCTTAAGTTTTGTGAATCTATAGCAGATCACCAGATGAAACTTGGACGATACTTCGTCCTAGAGAATCCTTATTACAGCAAACTCTGGTCTACGACAGAGGCCAAACGGTTGTTCTCTAACCGAAAGGTTAGCTATGAAGTGTGCAATCTACAGGCCTATGGTATGCAAGATCCAAAAGGATACTATGAGTTCGGTTAATGTATTCGCAGCTGCTTCCTATATGCAGCTTTATATGTAAAAATGTATACATATAAAGCAAGGAATGTATAGAAAGGGAATTGATGCAGTCACTCGCACAAACTCGCTCCTTTTGTTCTCTGGCGGGAAATGCAGATCCGAGCTTCAGCAGCAGGAAGCTGCCGGTGAAAGGGTCTGCATGTTTTCCCCCTCCTCCGATGGGATCTAGGTGCATCAAAAGGCACCGACCTGCCATGGAGAGAGGGAATGCAGATGGACCGATCCTTTGAAAGGACAGGCCGTATAAGTGCAAAACAAATGCAAATGCAAGCAATCCTAAAGCAATGTAAGAGTGCAATCGCCAGCACTCGCACCCAGAAAAAGGGAAGAGGTGGGTGGGACAAAAGTTTCTGCCCGCTATGCAGGCGAACTGGCAGCTGCGAGCCTGCTTGCTGCAATGCACATGGAATGTCATGAGTGCAGCAAGCATGCAAAACATTACCAAACACTCGTGAGCAAGCACACATACCGTTCGGTTAATGTATTCGCAGCTGCTTCCTATATGCAGCTTTATATGTAAAAATGTATACATATAAAGCAAGGAATGTATAGAAAGGGAATTGATGCAGTCACTCGCACAAACTCGCTCCTTTTGTTCTCTGGCGGGAAATGCAGATCCGAGCTTCAGCAGCAGGAAGCTGCCGGTGAAAGGGTCTGCATGTTTTCCCCCAAATGCAATCTGCCAGAGAACCGGAGTCGCGCATCAATTCCCCAAATGAAAAACGTGCGACAAGGTGATTAGAGTGCTGCTCCTAAAGGAGAGCTACTCGGAATGCTGAAAGGCGGCTTCCAAGATGGAGGCGAAATCGAAATGGAAGGCGAGGCATTCCAAAGTGCCTTCAATGAAATCCGACGCCGTCGTGAGAGGCTCCATCGAGCTGGCAAAGCAGCCGGTGGAAGCCAGCGACTCAAAAAGTCCGCCTCAGTGTTCTTTGGACCTGCAATGTGATGTACATCCAAGTGGATGCCAGTAAAACTGCTTAAAATAGCCAGTCGCTGCACAAATGCAGCGAGAGGCCAGGACGTAGTAAACAGCTTGTTGGCAGTGGCTTCAGCCCCACTGTTGTCACACCAGGAATGCATGCGAACCGACAATTTGCAACCTGGGCTTATTGCACTCAAAAGCCAAACTAATGCAATCTGACCGAGGCACTCATAACATGTAATGTCCTTGTGTGCCTCGGACTTCAATGGGAGCTCTGCGAATGCAAAGTCCTCAATAGTAAAGCATTCTGAAAACCAAAATTCGCCACCTGGTAAAGCAATGTAGCCGCCTATAGCGAAAGTGCGGCCATTGCCCATGGCATCCGCTGCAGCCTCCACCTGTAAATGCTCCATCGGGCGCAGCGATCGCCAAATTGGAGGCAATGCAGACCAATCAAGCCAGAACTGCAAAAGACTTCTGGAGGATGGACTCAATGCACGACGCTTGGAGGCAGAGTCCGCAATGCGAAGCCAGATATCCTTATCACCAAGGTTGCAATGTAAAAGTTCGCGCTTGGTGGCAACTTTGTGATGTCTCACAGCAAGAACACGGCTGCCCACCGTAATCGCCGCTCCAGGAGGTAACTTGACCAAATGTAAAGTGTCGTTCAAGCAAGAAATGA